TGACCAGTGGAGTGTGGGCCCCTGGGTGGGGGGGATGCAGAGCACAGGTGGGGAGCCAGGGAGGGGAGCTCAGCTTGGAGAGCAAGCCAGGAGGGGAGGGAATGTATCCCGCACGGGCTCCGTGCTGGGCTCCTCCTGCAGGGCATTCACACAGGCCATCTCGTCAAATCCTCTGTGGCCAGAGACGGGAAGTGACTTGCCCAAGGTCATCCGGCCAGTCAATGGCAGAGCCAGGACAAGATCAAGAATGTGTAAGGCCAAAGCCCTTGTACTACTGGCTGCTTCTCAGGGTTCAGGGAAAATGTGGGAATCTATGAACAGTAGCCTGAGTACTTCGATAACAGCAGCACCGGCCATTCTCTGCTTCCCCAGATCCCCATGGAGGAGAAAAGGGGCTGGTACTTCACCATGGCAACGCTTTTCATCAGGTCAGGCTGGGAAGGGGGCACGGGATGGGGGGGGAGGCGTGGCCTGGAGCCCAGGGGAGAAGTGGCTGAGCCCATCTCCATGGCAAGGGCTCCCCAAGCCCCCCTCCCTGCCAGTGGCCTGGGAAAGGGAGGACTTACAGCACCTGGGGGACAGCCCGGAGGGGGTACCAACCAGCTGCATCCTTTCCTTGGCCACAGGCTAGATGGCATCTTCCTGGAGCTGGGCAGAGAGGAGCAGAAGAGGCTGCCCGCCTTCAACCGCACACTGGCCCTGCTCCGCCAAGTCCTCAAGTCCTCGGACCCCCAGCACCGAGGTAGGGCGCGGGGATGGTGGAGAGCGGCCTGTCTCTGTCATTGCCCCCCCCCCAGCACTGCCTCCCTTTTTTGGACCCTGTTTCTCTCCCTCACCCTCTGTCTCATATATTGACTTGTTCATCTCGAGAGCTCACTCACCTTGCACAGGTGAGCACACCAATCCCAAGTCACTACTACCGCACGTGTTCGGGTGCGTCTCAGACCTGTTCAGAGGCATCGCTCAGCCTCTCAGCCCACGTCCTGGCTGGGGACGAGGCTGTGCTGGAGAGCAGTGCAGGCGTTGTTCACAGGGCCACGCGGCTAGAACAGGGGCCAGAACTGAGCTGCAGCCGGAGAGGCTGTGCACCCTCAGAGGTCCCCTGAGGGATGCAGTAAACACCGGTTAGCACCACCCTGCGTTCGTCCATTCACTCACGCGTCCCCTCTCCCCACCTGTTTCTCTCGGTGGGTCCCTGAGTGGCCCTCGGGATTTCCTGCCACTGACCCTCCCTTTGTCTTCCTGGGAGCCGACACCTGGGTGCAGCTGGTCCCCTCCCTTCTCGTGGCTCCTCTCTCCTCCCTGCTGCCAAACTGGGACCTCCCTACCACCCATCCTCCTCTTCTGGAACCCTCTGCTTCTCTGGGTGTCACCCCCCCCCACTCCCCCCCACTGTCTGCCCACCCAGGAAGTGCCCTCACTCCAGGCCTTTCTCTCCGTCCCAAACAAAACAGAAGTGCTCCCTTGTCATTGAGCCTCTTTGCCGAAGAATCAGGCCCTGGCCCTAATCGGTTTGGCTCAGTGGATAGAGCATGGGCCTTCGGAGCATGGGCCTTCAACCATCCATCCTCCTCTTCTGGAACCCTCTGCTTCTCTGGGTGTCACCCACCCCACTCCCCCCCACTGTGTGCCCACCCAGGAAGTGCCCTCACTCCAGGCCTTTCTCTCCGTCCCAAACAAAACAGAAGTGCTCCCTTGTCATCGAGCCTCTTTGCCGAAGAATCAGGCCCTGCCCACACCCGGTCTGGCCCAAGCCTGTGTCCAGCTTTGTCTTCTATGCTTGTCACCATTTCCCAGATACACCCTCAGGCTTTTCCCCTTGGGCCTTGGTTCATGTCCCTCCCACCTGCAGTGGTGGCCTAGGCCCTAGTGGAAAGCGGATGCGTTTAGCCAGGGTCTAGTGCCAGCTGTGCCCACAGGCCGTGTGACCCTAAGGCAAGTCACTTCCATCTCCGAGCCTCCTTATCTGTTAACTGTGTGGTCCGTCTGCCTTCTAGATGATTGAGAAACTCAAAGGAGTTAGTGGACAAAACTGTTCATAAAGACCTGTCAAGTGCTGTTCAAGCCTTATTCCTGGCACCTTGTGTATGTGGCAGTTTCTACACTCAGCTCAGTTTTGAAGTCTTCCCTGGAGGCCGGCCCTGCGATATCACTCGCCTGTGCACGCAGCACCGTGCCCTGCAAGGGCGCATCCCTGTTGCTTGCTGGCGGGTGGTGAGCAATTTCGTGATGAGAGATCTTAGGACAGAGCGTTCGCACTGGCTCATGCGTGTTCTGAGAGTTATGTCCAATTTAACAAAAACACGGCCTTCACCCCTCCTTGAGCACCTACTCTGCGCTGGGGCAAAGAGATGCCCAGCAGGGCCCCGGCCCTGCAGGAACTCACCCTCTCGGGGGCAGCAGAGAATGCGCACAGCAGCCATCAGCAACAACAGGGGCTCAGTGCTGTGGCCGAGCTAGAAACACTGCGCTGGGTACAGGGAGGTGGAGGCTGGTTCTGGCCCCTCCGCCCACCGGCCCTGAGGAACGGGGAGGAGCACACTGCATGTGTCTTGAGGAGAAGGGGTTTGCTTGGGGTCTGGAGAGATTCATTGGACATGACCCCTGAGCATGGCAGCGAGCATGGCAGTGAGTGGAGCTCTCGAGAGCTAAGTGGCAATGAGCTGTACCCCAAGTGTTGGGCTCCATGAGAAGACTGCGCTTCCCGGCAGGTGGCTATGGGGAATAAGCAATGCGACGACGGGGCTCTATCCAGAGTTGGGGTTCCTGAAGGTCAGGCACTATTTAGCTAGTTCTTGCAGGCCAACAGACACATTGTTTGCTCTTACCCTCCTCCCTTTACCCAGGCCATCGAGATTGCCAAGGACCAACCCCCGATCCTGAATCGCCTGGCCAAAATCTTCCACTTCCTGGGAAAGCAGGATATGGCCATTGGCACCTGCAACATGGCCCTGGATATCCTACGCGATCCGGAGCTCAACTGGCAGGCGTACTGCACGCGGGCCAAGGTGAGTCACCCGTTGACTCCACCTCCTCCTACCTCGGGAATCAGACAACAGGGGCCCCGGGCCAAGACCCTGTTGCCAGAGTGCAAAGATAATGAAGCCTTCCTGGTAGGAAGGAGCTTAGGAGTCACGAGGCACACGGTTTAGGTTCTGGACAGCTGTTGAGTGAAAGAATAAAGGACCCTCCCACCCACTGCAGCATCCGTTCCACAATAACCTACGTGGTCAACGGCCTGCAGCCTCTTCTTGATTGGTACCCAGTGTAGTCAGACCATCCTGGGTTGGAATCTGACATCTCCACTCATCACTCCGGGCCCGGTGGTAAGAAGACTAAGTGGGTAACATCCAATGCACCATGCCTGGAGCAGGGGAGGTGCTTGGGAAAGGCTGTAGGGTAGATCAGGGGCAGCCTGAGGTGGTCAATCAGAGCTCTCCCCAGGGACCTCGATCCCATCACCGTGCTTAGATGTTAATAGCACTTATCACTTGAAATGGTGCTGTTTACTTCTTCATGATCATCTTCCTACTAGAATGTTAAGTTCTACCAGGGCAGGGGCCTCATCTGTCTTATCACCATTGCACCCCACTACCTAACACAGGGCCTGGCATATGGTGGGCACTCAATACATATATGTTGAATGAATGAGTGAATGAATGAAGGGCTCTTACTTCATCATTGTACAGACAGGGAAACTACGGCTCAGAAGGGGGAGTGGCTAGCCCGGGTTGGCACAGCATTGAAACCTACAACTCCTGGGCCCCACCTCCGGGGCTTTCTGCTCCCTGAGTTGCTGCTGAGAAGAAGGCCGGCTTCATTTAGGGTAGAAAGGAGGGGGGAGGGGCCTTGCTTGGAGCATCTTCCTGAGCGGACTCTCTGGGCAGGTCCACATCACAGCCTACCTTCACGACCTGGAGCGGGTCAAGATGGGGCTCGGAGGCATGCCCGACAGGAACCACCTGGCCTGCGCCAAGGCCGACCTCGAGGAAGTGGTCAAGGTATGCCCAGGCCTCAAGACCTACCTGGACATCGGCCAGGTAAGGCAGCTCTTGGCTTGCTGCACAGCCAATGGCTTACTCAGGACCTATTTACTTTCTGCCAGGCCAGGCCTGGGATCCTAGGACACTGGGAGTCGTAGGGGACATCGCCCTACCTGATAACAGTACCCGCCTCCTACGGGGGAGGGTTGAATGCATGTACATCGTTGAGAACAGGCCTGATTCTTTCCGAGCACTCGGGAAGTGTGCACAGGGAATGATTACCAAACGGTGACAAGATCATGTTTTAGACATGAGAAAACTAGGCCCACACGTTGCCTTGCTCAAGGTTATGTGGCCAAGAGTGGTAGGGTGGGAACTGGAATCAGAATACTGCCTCTCCTTTTCCAGGGAAGGGGGACCAAAATTTGCGATGAATAAGTGTGGAAGCGGGGAGCAGCCAGGGCGAGCGGGGGTGGGCTGGGGGTTTGAAAGGCTCACCCCCGCCACCCCACCCAGGTCTACTACTACATGGGCGTGGACGCGATGCAGGAGCTGCTGGCGGTGGATGAGGCGGCGCTGAACCAGGCGCTGGTGTTCCTGGCCAAGGCGGGCGAGTTGGAGCTGGGCGCCAC